GCAAAAGCACAAAACAAAAACAAATGATGAATAATCATTGTCAAAATATTTAAATAATACAAAAAAGTATAAAAGAGAAAACAAAACTTACTAGAATTTCTACAAGTAACAACCACTATGCCATACTGATGTTAATATATATTGTATTAATCAGCTACTGCTTCATTAAAAAAGACTTGAATAGACATTTCTCCAAGAAGACATACATACAATGGCCAATAAGTACATGAGAAGATGCTCGACATCACTAGTCATTAGGGAAATGCAAATCAAAATCATAGCGAGATACTACTTTGCACTAAGTAGGATGACATTGGGAAAAAAGGAAGGAAGGAACGAAGGAAGAAAAGGAGGAAGGAAAGAAGCAGAGGAGAGAGAGAGAGAGAGAGAGAGGGAGAGAGAGAGAGGGAGAGAGATTGAGAGAGAGAGAGAGAAAGAGAAAGAGAGAGAGCGCTCAACTGTTTGAACTTTTCAGTCCATGTACCAGATATTTAAATGAAAAAGCCTTGAAAATGATCCCAGCTCCAGCTGCCTTCTGAGTGTAATTATATGAGACCTTGAATTTTTTAGCTGAGCTCTTTAACCCCTAGATTTGTGAGTACAACAAATAATTGCTATTGTTTTAAGCTACTGGTTTGCCCTTTGAAATGAGCAAGTCACATGACTCAAATATTTAATATGATTTAATATGTATATAGAATTTCCTAATTTTGCTTAATATCATGTAGTACATATTTAGGCTATTAAAAAGAAATAGATGTCCAGAAGAAATGTCTAATATAAGCCAGTAAACTTATGGAAGAGCTTTTATTCACTTACTATATATTTACTGAACATCTACTACATGTTTAGTAGTTTTCTACTCTCTAGGGATATATCATTGAATAAGACAACAAATAGAGAAATTCTTTGTCCCTATACTCCCATGACAGAAATAGACAATAAATAAAGAAATATGTATACAATAACTCCAGGTATTTATGTGATAAGAAGAAACAATAAATCTTGTAGGGGAAATAGGGATATCCTATTTAAGATAGGGTAGTCAGGGAAGACAATTCCTAGAAGGTGGTATTTGAAAATGAACATTCCAGGCTGAAAGAACAGCATATGTTTAAGTCCTGACCTGTGAAAAAGAACAAGGATAATGTGTCTAAAGTATAGTGGGTAAAGAAGTGAGAAATGTGAAATGATGATGAGGAATTTGAAATCTATTTTATGTGAGATGGAAAGGTATGGCAGAAATTTAATCAGAAGAACGAGATGATTTCAATCACTTTGTCTCTTGCACAAATATTACAAAGAGAGCTACTTGTTGACAAAAATCCATGTCCTGTTATTACTGGGCACACCATAAGAATGCTTTCCTCAGCCTTCACATCATTGCATGTAACTATGAGCCTAATATCTAGCCAATAAAATGTTATTGGAACTAATGCATACCTGGCCCATAAAATCTCCCATGTGTGCTCCTTCCCACTTTGAGCCGACAGGAAAGGAAGTAACACTCAAAGCAATCTTAGTAACCACAGATTGAAGATAGCAGAGGCATCATCAGCCTAAGTGCCTGAATAATTGCATGGAGTAGATCCTCTACTCCTACCACTACCGCCAATATACACACACCAATCACACACATAAACACCAACATCAGCATTATCAACAGGAAACACCCTGAACTCTTTCATGAAAAAAATCTAAAGTGGGTTTTTTTTTTTTTTTGAGTAATTACATGTATGGGTTTATTTTTTAACTTAGCCTTGTCTATGTCATCTAATCAGTAGAAAATAGCCCCTTTTTAAAAAGAGGCTGGACTAAAAAGAAGATTAATGAAAGGATATTTTAATCAACTAGGGGATCTACATAGATTACATAAAGATGGTAACAGTGAATGTGGCAAGATATGGTCCAGATTTAGAGTACAGTTTAAAGACAGGGCCAAGAGAACTTGCTGATAAATCATATTTAAGAATGTCAGCTGGAAATTTTGAAAATTCATATAGTCTTTCTATATATTTTTGTGAAACTAGATGATAGAATAGACTTTTCCTGACTCACTTTTGACTGAGAATAGAAGCCAAAGAATTCCACAGTGAGTGTAGAATTTTCAAAGGAACTGCAAGACACCGTTCTATAATTTTTAGAGTTTATAGACAATTAAGGGTAGAAATAGGGTCAGAGACCAAATTTGATTAGAAAGATATCTTTGTAGAGAAATATGAGATGCAGCTTCTTCCTGGCCTAAGGTGGAGGAAGGAGAACCTATCAAATTCATCATTTGCTTGTGCTTGCCAACTGAGGGGCTTCCCATGAGACCAGGTCGGGACCAAACTGGACCAAAGCCGGGCATAGGAGAAAATTTTGCATTAAATCAGATTTGGAGTTTTATTACTATTTTGGATCATACATCCAAAACACTGACTAGATTTGTTCTTGTGATTTATACATATTGTAGGAGTCTCTATTTCTAAAACTGAGCAGAGGGTCATGGGGTTTGCCTGACTTTTCTTCCTTAACCAGGGTAAGTTTAAGACACTGAATAAAAGTTAAAGCAACCATACGACAGTAAAATGTAGTAATGCCTTGATCATATTATAAACCATGCTTGTTCAACACAGGGGTTCAATTTACGACAAAAGAAATGTGGGCATTTCTAAATACAATGAATCACAACAACAGGAGACTTCAGGTAGGAATGACATATTATCAAACAGCATTCTGGTAAGTACTAAGCTCAAGCCACCTAACATATGACTAGGAAATCAACATAATTTTCTTATTAAATGTATTAAGCAACTGCTTCTCTCCTGACTTGAGAGAAATGTGGCTCAATCACTAGAATTTCTTTAAGATCATAAGAAAAGTCATTGCTACTATATTTATAAATGTTCTAACAAAATAATAAAGCATGAGATTCCTGTTCAGTTTTAAATTTATTATCTACATAGAGTGTCAGCTACATTACTTACTTTGAAGTGTTTTTTTAATCTTTAAAAAAATCAAATGAGAAGATTAGTAATATTTCTAGAGTTTTATTCCTGTCCACACAGTATCTTCTTATTTTGTCCATAGATATTCTCAAATGAAAATGGGAATTCTATGCACAGAATATTCTTACACTTCCTTAGAAAACCGGGCCTATGGATCTTAATTTAATTATGAAAAAAAATGAGAAGAAAATAAACCTAGAGTTTCATTTCTACTGTATCCATGATACAGTTAACCTAAGACACTGCAAAGATGTACAAATCCAGAATACTTAAAATAATTACTTTGTATAATAAAAAGAAAACCACTTTTCTTTAACTGAATTTCTTGGCCTTTGTAGCAGAAATTAGATGCCTCACATTATTGTGGCAGTTTTCTCCCTTCGGTTTGAGCTAGAACACTTTAACTAAGGTTATTTCTATATTCAGTAAGAATATATCCAAACTTGATTTTATAAATTATGTGAATTCCACTGCTGAGAGCTTCAGCTGGTAATATAATATCACTAAGCAAATGTGTACTTCAGATGAATTAAAGGCATAAAAATATAAATTGGAGAAATACATTTTTAGGGCTTTATTTATTTTAGGTCATTTGTGTCAAAGTCGGAATCCATTCTTTGTAAGAACACAGATAAAAACTGTGTTAGATGGTATGGAAAGGAACAATTATTCTCTGAGCATATATTTGCTGTGAATTGAGTTAGTCCTTTACAAAGGGCTACACAGAATTTCATGCTGGATATTTTGCCATTTGTACATGGATTCAACATAGTTATAGATGCTTCTATGGTCAACTAGATTTAATGCATCATTTTTCATGAGTGAGTTCCTGTCCTTGATAAAATAATGAATTATACATTGCATTCATGATTCTTAATAATAATTTGGAATGCTTTTCATATATTATTCCTTTGTATTCTTATCTTTCTTCTTTATTTTCATTTGTCTTCTAGAAGTGTCCTCTTGGTCATATGGATATATATTTTAACTTTAAAGGCATCAGTGTCCATCCTCTATCCTCAACCCAGAATCAATCTAGGTGAAGTGAGACATGAAGAAGCAGATGCTCTCCTTGCCCAGTAACTGTAAATCCTCTCAAACGGAGGGATAGCATCTCATCTATAAGTAGTACTAGCGCAGCAGCTGGTAGTAGCCACACTAAAACATCCCTACTACTGTTGACTTAGTGACTCACCTTTTACATCAATTCCTCATAAACTTTGCCCTTTACCATCTCTAGCTTTTTCATGTCTTTCCCTCAGTCTAAAACTCTACCTAGTATAGAAGACCTAGTGCAAACGTCATTAGATATCCCTTAATAACTTATATCAAAATTTACTATGTATTTTTTTTTTTATATTTCTATAGCTTTTGCTTGTGCTTGCCAAACACTGTATCACATGATTATTACTTGGTGTATTTTATTTATGCTACCTGAAAGTAGAATCCTTATATACAGGTTAATGTTTTATAGATCACTATGTAATTTCACAATTCAAAGCTCTGCTTGTAATAAGGTTTCAATAAATGTTTATTAACCATTAAATTGATAAATCTGTTAAATTCCTAAACTAATACACAATTTGTATAACAAAGTTTAATGCTCTATGCCATGATTGCAATTCAATCTTCTTTTTTACTAAGAACGTATAAAAACTATTCAATGGTATCACTAAGAACATGTTATAAAAACTATTCAGTATAAACATAAGGCATTGCTATTAAGATTTAGAAATTTTAGGTTCTGTTTATAATTAGATGTCATTCATTATTTATAAATAATTCTCTTAGTTAAATGTATATGCAATATTTAAAGAAATATTGTTATCACACATTATTTGCTTTGTGATAGCCTGGCTAACCCAGAGATCTATGTTGTAACATTCTCTAGATAAACTTACCTCTCACAATGATGTTGGTGGACTTTTTTGCAGGGTTTCCCACATTATTATTGGCAATGCAGCTGTAAGTACCAGCATCTTCTGAGGTGATGGCAGGTATGGTCAAAGTTCCCCCATTCAATACCGTCTTTTCAGGCAGAGTCCCAAAGGACCTGACCCAGGTGAGAGAGGGTGCAGGCTCTCCTCCTGTCGTAACACATACTAATGTTATGGCCTCTCCAGGATTAACAACTATAGGGTCATCCACCAAGAGTTTAATTGACGGAGATGCTAAAAGACATAAACAAAAGAACATGCACCTATTTAGATCTACTACAACTAGAATTCAACAGCATGCTTCATACTTATTCAATTAAAATAAAATATTGTTTTATTTTGCCAAAATCTTAACTTGTGAAATTAAAACCAGATATAGTGGTTATATATTTTGATTATGTGGTATAAGCCTATAGAACTATATTAAGAATCTCTCATATGGAGAGAAGAATTTAAATTTATGTATTCTTAGATAATTGTTCCAAATTAGAATAATAAGAAGAATAAAGTTTTAAAACAAAATTCCTTGCTCTTTTTAATGTTAACAATGACTGTTTTTGTCATTCCAGGTGTAAATACTGTAGCTGTTTAGTCCTTGTATTTTCATGGCGATCACCAATTATTTAATTTTTGGAACATTCTGAGGTAAAATGATAAATTTTTGTAACCAGAACATAACTAAATAAGAGATAAAGTCATGGATCATCCCAGTCTTTTACCAAACATTGGGCCTGGTTTTTGGTATTGAAAGGAATGACAAAATCATCTAATTCTAATACTGTCCACACACTTCAGCTCTAACTTCTACATTTAAAAGGTATAGGTAGTGAGTTTTTATAACTACCACTTTAAAATTTAGAAACAAACAAACAAATGAGACCTCAAACATAGTTCCAAACTATTCCTACCATCACTCTTATATTTGGGTTATATAAATCATCTGCCAAGTGTGAAAAAAAAATCATTTGCAATCTTTCGGATTTAAAAATACAAAAATAAATAATATGCTGTGTTATAGACTTTTCCTCAAACACTCAAAATAAAACTGCACAAAACCTATGTTCACTTACAGCACTTTTTTTTTCTTCTTACTTGGGAGGGCCAGCCTATATAATACATCCCTAAATAAAAGCTGCAGATGTATTATGATATTGTTTGAGTTCCCACATTCAGAAATATTTTATGTCAAAAATAAAACCTTATTGTATGAAATCGATTCATATCAGAAATATTTAATGTGTTCAATTGCATTGTAATTTTTTTTTTTTTAGATATTAGCTTCAGCTTAGAGTTGCATAGTGTATTTCTTAGAATAGAAGGTAAACTCGTTTTGTTGTTCAGTACTGCTTGCCTTTTTGAAAGAAGATAAAAAGCCAAAGGAGAACAAGAAAACAATTTCATATTATTGTTATGGTCCTATGGGACAGGCACAGAATGGCTGGATGACCTTTTTAAACACTGTTATACTGGCCCTTCTAACATCATTTAAGTAATATGGAAGTTTTCAAAGTGTCTTAATAGCCTTTCTGAGGAGTTGATTTTAAATTATAAAAATTTATGACTAAAATTTTGTTGCAAAAGGCAATGCAGTTTCGTAGAAAAGACAGCATCTCAAAGAGTTATTTAATGTTATTAAATTGATGAAAGATATCACTAATTAAATACTTTGAAAATATACTTAATAATTGCTATATTATCATGAAAAAGGGAAAAATCTCTATAGCCTAATTTGAAGTAAATAGTAAAATCTTGCAAAGGGATTTAGTTAAAATATAAATCTAGAGATTCCAGCATTTATATAACATTAACAAAGCTCATTTTTTTACATTATATTTTAGTAAATTGAAAGTGTCAAGGCCTAAAGGCCATTCATAGTATATGTTTGAACTATAGAAAGGCACAATGGTGACATTAAGAAATATTTGTACATGAAATTGAATGAGGATGAGTTGTTTTCTATTAGATAGACGATATTTTTTTTTTAAAAAAAAGCTCGAGAATTTCAATGCTCAAAAAAAAAAATACATATGTAACAATACCACCATTTTACTATAATTGCAGAACTACATTCACAATCTTATTAAAAACTCCTCTTTTTTTATAAATCTGAATTGAAAACAAAATATTGTCCAACTCAGTTTTGTTGAAGATGGCATTCAACAAAAAAATGGCTAATGATTTAAAACATTAAGAATATTCATATATATTTTAGTATAAACTTTTCTGGTTTTATATATTGAAAAGATAAAAGGTAAAATTGTCATTTTTGTTCTAATGTCTAACTTTTGATTTTATAAATATTTTTTTTAAACTATGAGGCTTTGCTTAAAAACCTTAAGGACATTAGGAATCATCAAGCTTAAGGATAAATCCTGTCCTAAAGAAAAATGTTAAAGTAGGAAAAACATAAAAATACATTTTTTCTATTATTAAAAATATTTTTAATAATAAAATATTAATAATAGAATAATAAAATTTTAAGAGATTTTTACTGGAAGGATTCTTTGCTAATTTGAGGATATACAAAAGAGTGACTGAGAATATCTCAAGCCAGTTATTCTCTTCTTATAGGCTTCCATAGCTCCCCATATGTTTCCTTTCATATCACATTGTATAACATTAGCCAGGCTACCACTATTGCTCTTCAACCAGAAGTAAAGTTTCATGATTTCATTCTCTGAAGTATGGTGTAATGGTTGAGTGCTAAGAGACACTTGGGTTCAAATCTTGATTGTGCTATTATTTAATAACTGCTTGAACTTGGGTAAGTTTTTTTCACTCCTGCATGCCTCAGTTTCCCATTATTTAAATGGAGGACAACAATTGTTAACTATCTTATAGCACTGAGATGATTTAACATGTGAAAGTGTTTACAATAGTGCTTAGTACAAAATATGCACTGAAAAAGTATCTGCTTTTGTCACTTTTTTTATTACCACCCACATTGCTAGGTACAGTTCTTGGCACATATTAGGTTCTTAATAAATATTAGCAAGGAAAATCAATAAATGGGTATATAAATAAATGAGTGACTAGTATTACAAAATTTGTCCCCATAAATGGCAATTATTCTATTTTACTCTGATGCATATGGCAAAGACCATTTAAGACCATTTGACTTTTGTAGGTCCTGTACAATATCATATAAAATATATTTAAATACACCTGTACATTGTGAAGAAAAAGAAACATTTATTAATTTTGTTTTACGATATTTTATTTGTAAGTTAAAACTATTGTCTTTCAAGAATCAACATACAATACAGCCTTTAAAAGCTCATAGGCAGAAGAGCTCTGGTCAAGATGGAGGATAGATAAATGCTGTGATCTCCTCCTCTCACAACCACATCAAAATTACAACTAAACTACAGAACAACCCTTATTGAGAATTATAGGAGGGGTGGAGACGTGAAACAGGCTGGTACCACACTCATGTGTAGTGGTGAGAATCCAGAGGAATATCTTGGCTGCAGAGGTCCCCTCTAGAAGAGCGAGGGGTCCCGCCCTGCAGCAGGCTCCCCATCCTAGAGTTGCAGTGCCAGGAAGAGAAGTCTCTACAACTTCTGGCTGTAAAACCAGTGGAGATTGTGGCTGAGTGATACCGAGGGCCCAAGGAGTCACACATATTCCTCTTATGGCCTGGTAAGCAGACTTACCACTGATGGACTCACTTGCTCTGAGCTCTGGTGCTGGCGCAGCAACTGAAAGGCACTAGGGGCACATGGGGAGGAAATGAGTTGCCTGGCTTCAGGGTGACGGCTAGAGAGGCAGCTATCTCTCAGAGATAAGTGTTAGCAGAGAGCATTGTTCCTTTGTTGAACCTTCTTCTGCCCAGCTTGAAGACCCAGGTGGCAGCTGTAACACTCCTGCCCGGGTGATACCCCAAGACCCCGCTCCTTCCAACTTATAGGTTCACCTAAGCCACTTCTAGTGGATTTCCCAGTCAAACAGCCTATCTTGGCTCATGCTCTAGACTTTCCTAAAAAATCTCAAAGTTTCTTAAAAACCTAAACAAGCAACATCTGGCTTTGGTGTGCCCTGTATCTCTTGCTGAACAGCTACGTCTTGGCATTAGCAGCAGCCAGCCTTGGTTTGCAGCAAGGCCTCTTTTGAGGCACTTCCAAGCCCAGTGTGTATGGCAGCCATCTGTGGATTGCTTGGTGGCTCATGCCAGGTGGCCCTGGGCAGGGCACAGGCTATGGCTAAACTTGGTCTGTAGTAGGGCCCCTCCCAGAATGCCCTAGCCTGTATGCCTGGTGGCAGGCTTCACTCTGAGCTAGAGCACCACCCAGGGTCACATCTGAGGATGATACACCCAAAGGGCAGACAAGGCAGACACTAGAGCCCTGCTAAAGCAAATCTTGCCTTTGTAGGGTCACCCTCTGCTCAGCAGCTTCTGCACTAGTCACAACCAGTCATCATAACTAATCGGCCCGACAGTCAGTCCCTCCCACTGATGAGCAAACAGCAATCAAGGCTCAACTACAACAAGAAGGCACACACAACCCATACAAGGATAATACCTGAAAGGCTCGGCTCAGGTAACCAGAGAAGACTGTGCCACTGAGCCTCACAGCACACCTAGTACATAAGTCCACTCTACTAAGACCAGGAGACATAACAGACTGACATAATACATAGAAACAAACATAAATAGGTAGCCAAAATAAGAAGACAAAGAAATATGTCCCAAACAAAAAAATTGAACAAAGATACCCCCAAAAAGAACTAACCAAAATGGGGACAAGCAATCTACCAGAAGTGGAGTTCAAAATACTGGTTATAAGGATGCTCAATGAACTTAGGAGAAGAGTAAAGGAACTCAGTGAGAACTTTAACAAAAATAAAACATAAAAACGTCAGAAATGAAGAATACAATAACTGAAATTAAGAATACCTTAGGAGGAGGAGGAATTAACAGTACATTAGATGAAGCAGAGGATCGAATCAGTGATAAGGTAGCAGAACACAACCAATCAGAACAGCAACAAGAAAAAAAGAATTAAAAAAAATGAGGATATTTTAAGAGGCCTCTGGGATAACATCAAGTGTAACAGCATTCACATCCTAGGGATACCAAAATGAGAAGAGAGAGAGCAAGGAATTGAAAACCTATCTGAAGAAATAACAATGTAAAAATTCCCTAACCTGGTGAAGGAAATAGACATAAAGGCCCAGGAAATGTAAAGAGCCCAAAACAATGTAAACACAAAGGGGCCCATACCAAGACACAT